CCCGTCAAGTTGGAGGGTGTGGACACACCCAACTTTCCAAGCAAAGAATGACGAGAAGCACCTGCAAGAGACTTTGTGAATACATCAGCTGGCTGGGAAGCAGTATTAATGTGACTCAAAGATATCAAACCATCAGACAACTTAGTGTGGATGAAATGGTAATTGAGCTCAATGTGTTTGGTGCGCTCGTGGAATACCGGATTCTTAGAAATATGAATCGCAACCATACTGTCACAAAAAATAGGTATAGGTGATGATAGATGCACACCTAGATCAAAGAACCAGCGAGCCAACCAAGACAATTCAGCCACAACTTTACTTAGGGCCCTGTATTCTGCTTCAGCAGAAGAGAGAGACACCACATGCTGTTGTTTAGATTTCCAACTTATCAAACTACCTCCAAAAGTAACACAGAAACCAGTAATTGATTTGCGAGTCTTAAGGCAGGCTACCCAATCACTATCACAGTATCCATGGAGAGAAAAATCAGAAGAATTGTTCAAAAGAACTATCACATCAGGAGTGCCCTTTAAGTACCTTAAAACATGTAATACAACTGCCATATGAGGAACTCGAGGGGCCTTAAGAAATTGATTAAGATGTTGCATAGCAAAACGTAAGTGGGGCCTAGTATGAGTGAGAAAATTGAGTTTACCAATTAAGCTCTGATAAGTATCAGGCCTAGGAAAGACATCCCCAACCTCAAAATGTAGCTTTGTGGACAAAGCAAGAGGACAAACAACAGGAGAGATATCTGAACACCCAAACTCAATCAATAAATCAGAGATAAAATTCTTCTGGTGTAGAAGAACCCATGAAGAGTGATAAAGCGCCTCAACGCCAAGAGAGTAGTTAAGAAGGCCCAAATCGTTGATCTTAAACTCAATATCCAGAAAACTTTTTAAGGCAGTGATTTCAGCCATGTCATCCCCAGTGAGGATGATATCATCCACATAGACAGCAAGGAAAATAGAGGAAGTAACAGCTCTTTTAAAAAATAAAGAATAGTCATTTAAGGAATGAGTGTACCTTCTAGAACAAAGAGCTTGAGATAGCTTTGCATACCATTGCCGAGAAGCTTGTCTCAAACCATACAAGGATTTCTTTAATTTAAAAACCAAATTAGGAGCAGAAACAGAAGAAGAAGAAAAAGAAGAAGAAGAAGAAGAAGAAGAAGAAGAAGAAGAAGAAGAAGAAGAAGAAGAAGAAGAAGAAGAAGAAGAAGAAGAAGAAGAAGAGGTAAGAGAAGAATCAACAGAAAGACCCTATAGCAACCGAATGTAGACTTCCTCAACTAAGTCCCCATGCAAAAATGCATTGTTCACATCTAATTGAAACAATGACCAATTATGTTTGACAGGAAAAGCAATGAGGCATTTAACAGTACACATTTTTACTACAAGAGAAAATGTTTCAGCAAAGTCTATAACCTCTACTTGAGTGTCACCTCTAGCCACTAGCCTCTCCTTATACCTCTCCATAGAACCATCAGCCTTATACCTAATTTTGTAAACCCATTTTCACCCAATTGGTTTCTTAACTTAAGGCAAGTCAACAATGTCCCATGTGTGATTAGCTTCCAAAGCCTCAAATGCTTTCCTCATGGCCTCTTGCCAAGCAGGACTTAGAGTAGCCTGATGGTAAGAATGAGGCTTAACTACAGCAGTTGGTTCAACAATAGTGGTGGCAATAGAGGAGCATAAAGAGGGAGGAAGGGATACTACATAATCCTGAAGGTGAGAAGGAAGAGTGTGAGTTCTGGCTGATTTCCTACGAGTAGAAGGACTGGAAGAAACATGTGAATGAGAGGAGCTAGCTGGAGATGAAGCAGATTGTGGAGAGAAAGAAGAACTGGAAGGAGGGGAAGCAGGAGTGGAAATAGGCGAGGAAGTAAAAGTAGGTGAAGAAGGGGTGAAGGAAGGAGGAAAAGAAGCATCAACATCTGAAGAATCAGAAGGGTTAGAAATGATAGGAGATGGAGAAGTAGATAAAAGAGAAGATATATAATAAAGAGAGACTGATAGATGAAATGGAAAAACAGCTTCATGAAAATTGACATCCCTAGAAATAAGTACAGACTTATTTTGCAAATAGTAAAGCTTACAGCCCTTCTTACACAAAGGGTAACTAATGAACACACAAGGGACAGCCCTTGGCAGAAACTTATCCCTTTGGCATTTGGGAACTATAGCATAACAAAAGTAACCAAAATATTTCAAATGGTTATAGGATGGTATTGCACCATATAAGAGTTCAGAAGGAGTTTTGTATGATATTACAGTGGAGGGAAATCTATTTATAAGATAGGCAACAGTTAATACACAATCCTCCCATAATTTGGAAGGAAGTTTTTACTGAAATAAAAGAGCCCCTTAAATTTCTAAAAGGTGTTTGTATTTTCGCTCAACTCCACCATTTTGTTGAGGTGTGTGGGGGAAAATTGTTTGGTGTAAGATCCCATTTTCAGAAACAAATTGAGACATGGAGGGAGAAGAGCCAAGTGCTAGGTCATTGTCACTTCTAATAGTTTTGACAAGAAGCTTGAACTGCGTTTGGACCATTGTAATGAATGCCTTGAGAAGAGGAAAAGCATTACTTTTGGCACGCATTAAATGAGTCCAAGTGGCTCTACTATAATCATCCACAATTGTCAAAAACTATTTTGCACCAGTATATGTTTGTGTATGATATGGTCCCTAAATATCAATATGAACTAGTTGAAGCAAGCAAGCAGAACTAGAGGTACTATATGGGAAAGGCAATCTATTTTGTCTACCTAGAGGACAAATTGGACAAATGAAAGATTTCTTAGAGGAAATAGTAAGAGAAGTAGCAGGAATGGCCTTCATTTTAGCAAATGGGATGTGACATAATCTATGATGCCAAAGAATATCTGAACTAGTTACAGCATTCAAAGAATTCATACAAGAAACATCGGAGTTTGCACAAGAAAGAGTAGAAGTAGTACCGTTAGACACAATAGGTGCCGAATTATTCAAAGGTGAATTATTTACAGCTGGTGTAGTATTAGTTAGGGAAGAGGTAGGGGATGAATGCATGGAGAGTACATTAGCAGTCAAATCTAAAATAGAGATAAAATTTGTTTAGGGAGACAATAGTATGACTAGAAGTGGAAGAGCTAGAAGTGGTGAGTGGAAGAAGCTTGTAAAGACCATGATGCACTCTACCAAGTTCCAGAAGCTTCTTCCTGGAAGGGTCCTGTATAAAATAGGAACAAGATGTGAGAAGGACAAAACTGTGAAACTGTTGAATCAACATATAAACAGATATGAGATTATATTGAAAGGATAGAATATAGAGCACATGATGCAAAACAAAGGAAGGAGACAAAGTAAGTGAACCAGTGTATGTTACTTTCACTTTGTATCCATTTGGGAAAGAAACTAAATATGGTACATGAAGGAGTTTAATGTAAAAAAGGAAATCTTTACTAGATGTCATATGGTCAGTTGCTCCTGAATCTACTATCCTAACACTCCTAACAGCACTAGACAACATACATGCAACAAAGCTATCACAATCAGGCATAGGTAGAATAGATATGTTACTAGCAAAGTTTGTAGATCCCATAAGATTTGTTTGAGAGTTAGAGTCCAAAGCTGAATTTTGTAGAAGCATCAACAGTTACTGCATTGTTCCTTTTTCAGTCTAGGGATCATAGAGTCTTGACCAACAGATCCAGAGGTAGTAGGAGCATCAGAACTCTAGAAGTAGAAGATTCAATGTTGGCAGTAGTACCATACTTCCTACCTTTTGTGAATTTAAAATTCTGTGGAAAACCATGCAGCCTATGACACGTCTCAATGATATGGTTATTCTTCTTGTAGTACTTGCAGAATAAAGATCCCTTATGCTGCCCAAGATTAATCCTTTGATTGGATTGATCAAAATTAACTCTATCATTGTATTGTTTGTTGAGATTTGGTTGAGAAGGAGACTTATTGTTGGCACTTGCATGGAAAGAAGCCATATCAGAACGAAAATGAGTAGTAGGAATGACTTGTATTTGAATGTTATAGACATTGTCAAGTGATGGCAGTGGATTCATGAGCAGAATGTTGCTCCTAACATTAACATATGTCTCGTTCAAACCCATTAGAAATTGATGCACCCTATTCTCTTATTTTTCCTGCTCCAGACCAGGCTTAGCATCACAATTATAATTTTTTGCATGATTGGAAGACATGACTGTCAGTTCATCCCAAAGCTTCTTCAACTTGTTAAAATAAGATGCAATATCAAGAGCCCCTTGACATGTAAAAGCCAACTCCCTCTTAATTTCCAATTTCTTAGTTCCATTAACTGTTCCATACCTAATATTTAATTGCCTCCAAATACTCTCAGCAGTCTCCAAATATTGAACACTTTCTGCAATCTCATGGGACAGGGAGCTTATCAAACATGAAATTACCATGTTGTTCACCCTATCCCACTGTTTGCACTCGGGTGAATTAATAGGAGGCCTAGGGAGAGTTCCATCGATAAAAGCAATTTTATTTCTAGCTGAAAGAGACACGATAATGCTTTTTTTCCGAACCTATCGATCCAAAATGGTTACCATATTTACATCATAAGTCAAATCCCCATCTAACTGCACAGTGATAAAGTCCAAAACATGTTACGGATCACCATAATACTTTGGAACATAGAAACAATATATACTAGGTGAACACCCGATAGACTAGGTGGGAAGGCAAGTTTGTAGGCCACCTCTCCAACTCTCTCAATAACCTCAAAAGGGCCAATATACCTAGGACTCAACTTCCCCTTCTTCCAAATTCTCATCACACCCTTCATGGGCAATACTCTGAGCAGAACCTTCTCACCCACCATATATGCAACATCATGAACATTTAGGTCAGCATAACTCTTATACTTGAACTGTGTTGTACGAATCTACTCCTGAATCATCTTCACCATCTCTAAGGAATCTCAGACCAAATAAGTGCCAAACAGTTTAGCCTCCCTAGGCTCAAACCAACCAATCAGAGAACAACATCTCCTCCCATATAAGGACTCCTAAGAAGCCATTTGGATACTCGATTAAAAGTTATTATTGTAGGCGAACCCTGCTAATTGAAGAAACAAATCCCATGATTCTCCAAAATCGATAACACATGCACGTAATATGTCCTCCAATATCTGAATAGTGCGCTTGGACTACTCGTCCTTTTGGGGATGAAATGTTGTACTCAGCTCTACCCGTGTGCCCAACTCCTGCTGCACCACTCTCCAAATCTTCAATATGAACTGAGTGCCTCAATCCGAAATGATAGACACGAACACTCTATGATGCCGAACAATCTCACGAATGTAAATCTGAGCCAACCACTCTGAAGAATAGGAAGTCATCACCGGAATGAAGTGTATGGACTTAGTCAACCGGTCCATACTAAACCATACTAGATCATATTTTTTTAAGGTTCGTGGTAAGACTACCAAAAATTCCATAGCGATGCGCTCCCACATCCACTCTATTTTCTCTAATCTCTGAGTCAACCATCCCGGTTTTTTATGCTCATACTTTACCTATTAGCAATTCAAACACCGAGATATATAATTAACAATATCTTTCTTCAATCTTCTGCACGAATAGTATTGTTTCAAGTCACGATACAACTTCGTGACACTTGGTTGAATGGAATAGCGCAAGTTGTGAGACTTCTTAAGGACCAAATCTCTCAACTCATCAACAATTGGAACAAAAATCCGGCTTTGAAGCTGCATAACACAATCATAACTTAGCACAACCTCCTTAGCACCACCTCGTTGCATTATGTCTGTCAATACCAATATAAGTGAGGATCATCCAACTGGCGAGCCTTGATACGCTCCAACGACTGACTGCCACAATGCAAGCAAGAATGCGGCTAGGTTCCGAAACAATCAATCTCATAAAGAGATTAGAAAAAGCCTGAACATCCGTGGTTAGTGGCCTCTATGCTACCGGTAAATATGCCATGCTTCCCACACTCGCAGCCTTCCTACTCAATGCATCGTCCACAACATTTACCTTCCCAGATGATATAATATGGTGATATTATAGTCTTTTAGCAACTGTAACCATCTTCGTTACGGCAAATTTAGATCCTTTTTTCTTGAACATGTGCTACAGACTCCGATGGTCAGTATGGACCTCACATGGAATGCCGTATAGATAGTGCCTTCTAATTATCAACGCATGAGAAATGGCTGCTAAATCTATGTACATAGTAGTTCTTCTCATAAACGTTCAACTATCGAGATGCATAGGTAATCACTCTACTGTCTTGCATCAACACCGTTATAAGCCTAATAGGCGACGCATCACAATGTACAGTGTAAGATCCTGAACCTGTAGGCAACACTAATACTGGGGCTGTAGTTAATGTAGTTTTGAGCTTCAAAAATCTCACCTCACACTCATTGGACCAACTAAAAGGAGGACCCTTCTAGGTTAATCTACTCAAAGGTGTAGCAA